AGCCACAAGTTACTGTAATGGCGATTCTGCCTGAATTCCCCGATGGGGCTCAGAGAAAGTTGCCAGTGATCTGGATTTGGCTCAAGGTCAGTCTGGGATGTGGGGTCTTGTCTGTCCTCCTCCATAAAGTTTGTCTTGGATGGGACTTCATCCCATGAGCAAACCCCAGGGCTTCAGAGTTCTGAACAAGAGGCCTTCTAGATCCCAGCGGGGCCCGCCCAGCCAGGCAGCTCCAGGATTCTTCAGTGTCCACCGAGAGCAGGAGGAGGGAGCTCACAATTCACAAAAATATCCAGTGGACACTGGTCTGGGAGGGCGGGAGTCAGGAACCAGAGGCGAGCCGTAGCCCAGGGTAGAAATCTGGGCTCTGTCCGAGTCTGTGCATGAAGAAAGGAGGGGGTGCATCCCGTGCGGGTGGTCACCTCTGGGAGGGGGCTCTGCGGCTTTGTTTCCTCTTTACTCTTTGCTGTAGGTTCTCATTTTTTTTTTTTTTTTTGGTGATAAGTTTATAATGCTTTTATAACTAGAAGAAAAGCAATAACTTCTTTTAAAAGGATTTTATTTATCTATTTGACAGAGAGAGACACAGCAAGAGAGGGAACACAAGCAGGGGGAGTGTGAGAGGGAGAAGCAGGCTTCCTGCGGAGCAGGGGCCCAATGTGGGGCTCGATGCGGGGCTCGGTGCGGGGCTCGATCCCAGGACCCCAGGATCACGACCTGAGCCGAAGGCAGACGCTTAATGACTGAGCCACTCAGGCGCCCCAACAATAACATTTTTTTAAAAGTCATTTAGAAAGTTAGTGGGAACTAATGGAAGATTCAGGAGAGAGTCAGGAATAGGAAAATTCCAGGCAAGGCAGAACTACAGAGATTTAGTAGATCTACTGAGGGTGCCTAGTCTGTCCACTGATTTCATAGTTAAGAACGCTGAGTTGCAGGGAGTGGAAATGACTTGCCCAGAGTCGCTGGGGGAGCAGGCTCTAGAATGCTGGGGTTCTCATGCCTGGCACAGGGTCCTGCCCTGCCAAGCCCAAGGCATGGTGGGGAGATCTGGATTCTGCCCTCAGAGCTGAACACCCCTCATTCCAGGAGCTCATCCAGAGCAGGGACTAAGCCAGGCACAAGGCTACGTAAAGGACTTATGTAAGTGATTGCTCCGTATGGCTCACTCGGCTAGGCAGGCATGGGGTGGTAGGTCATGAGTCCTTGTGTGGGACTGGACCCTGCTGCCTTAAGGACTGCTCCTAAGGGGAAAGGCATCTGTGCATGTGTGGTCTTATGTGGGGGTCTTATGTGCGTGTGTCTATGTATGGTGGGCATCATGGAGGATGATCAGCCAGCTTACCCCACTCAGCCATGGAAAGAAAGCCCCAAAGCCTGCCTTCTACCCAACCTGGGGAGCTCGGGCACAGGGCAGGGCTGTCCCCTATCCTGGAGACCACCGGTCAGGCCCATGGCCATGGAGTCCCAGGCGAGGGTTGGAGCTATCCAGGGAGCCTGGGGAGGAAGCACCAGCCCCCTGTGGTTTAATTCATCACCCAGGTGTGAGCAAGGGAGGAAGGGAGAGCAGCGAGGGGCAGATAGTGAAAGATGGGTGATGGGCAGGAGAAGCCTGGAGCCCGGCCAGTCGGCAGGGCTGAGCGGGGTTAGGCAGACGGGCCGCCGGTCTGGCTGAAACTGAGCACAAAGGGGTTCTTTCGTGGGTGCCCGAGAGCCGACGTCCACTGCAGGGACAGGTCTGATCAGTGGCACAGGTGTCCACCCAGCAGAACAAGAAAATGAGCAGCTTAGGCTAGGGAAGAGGATGCAAGGAGAACAAAATCGAGGCAGTGCTGGAAAAGCTCGCCAGCTGTGGGCCTCATTGCCCAGGAAGGCAGCGGCTGGGAGTGCCCAGAGGAGAGCAGAGAGGGGAACTGGAGCCCCCAGAAGCCCCGCAGAGTGTTTCGGAGATCCTTTCCTCTAGTGTACTTAGAGAAAGGGGTGCTTGCTATGTCCTCTGCAGAGAGCCAAGCCCTCACCGGCCAAGTCACCTGAACATAGCTCGCACTAGAATAGAAGTCAGAGGCCTGGCCGTGGCTCCCATGGTGACCTCCCAGCCACCGCTCCGGGAGTCAGCCCCACGGTGCTGAGATGCAGGGCTGGGAGCCAGAAGAGGGGTGCTTCTCACGTGGCTTGCAGAGTGTCACTGACCCCCAGCTCCTTCTGCACTGCAGAGCCCTAGTGTGCTCAGGAACTCCCACCAGAGCCCCATCCCCGGCTCCCTGCCTGGGGCCCCTGTACCAGGGCTCCCGCCTCCCAAGTTGTGAGTTGTGGCCACATGGCTGAAGTGGTTAGCGTAAGGCCCAGTGGTGTTGCACTCATTAACTGAGCAGAGCTGGCTCCTGAGGGCTCAGTCAAGTGGCGGCCTGGGGCATGTGGCTGGGGGCACCCCCACCCTCACTGTCCCCCTCGATGCCAGGGAAGGAGCAGACCTCAGAAATCCCAGTCAGGTCTGGTGCACTTGGTTGGGGCCGGTACCTCAGCCTTCAAGCCTTGGGGACCTCGGCCTCTGCAAGGAGCCCTGCCCTTGAAACCCTCCTGGCTCTTCGGGTGTCTCTTTTACAGCTGTGAGCACTGCTTCGTGACCCCACCCATGTACTCTGCAGCTGCCAGTCTCCCATTGTGCCCCTAAGTAAACAAGCCTTGGACAGAATAAAACTGTTATTGTAGGGTCAACATATAGGAGCCCTATTTGGCTGGGATTTGTTTGGGAATGCAGAAGCTGTCCCCAAGCTGGCCTCACACCCTCTGAAAAAATGCCCCCGCCTGGACCGTGCAGAATTGCTAGGCCTGTCCCCAAGAAGGCCTTCGGAGGTGGTGACAGCCTTAGGCAAGATTCTGTATGGGCCTTTCCTAGAGGGCACACTCAGGCTGTGAGCCACCCTCTCTCCCGGAGCCAGACTGGCCCTCAAGCCCCTTCATCAAGGAAGCCTTCCCGACCTCACCCTGCATGCCCCCCGCCTGACCTCCTTCCATATATTCTTGTGCCTCGAGAACTTCTGCTTTGTGGTCACCTTGCAGCTGCAATATAAAAGTCATGGATTTGTTTCTGTCATTGATGGCTTGCTCCCCCACTAGATTTCGAGCTCTGAGTGCATAGGGGTGTCTGTTGAGTTCAGTGCTGGATCCCCAATGCCTGGTGCAGGGCCTGGCACACAGTAGGTGTTAGTAAATCTCCGTGGTTGCAGGAATGAATGTATGCAGGCTCTTCTAGCCTGTCAGTTTGCTCTGCGTGCTCCTCGAAGGGGACTGGACCCCGGTTCTCGGTGCCGTGCCCCCAAACCTCCTTGGAGGGTGTGAAGATCAGTGTCTCCTCTGGGGGCGATGCCAGATTGGGTGTACAGGATGGTTACTCCACAAGGGTGTCTGTGCTTTGGTGGACAGGGTATGCAAGCCGAAATATACCCACTGTGGGAACAAGGGGTACGTGGCTGGGGCCTCCACTGGGAACTGGGGCCTCCCGAGTCTGCATTCCGAAATAGGCCTTTCTGGAAAGCGCACAGGTCCCAGCGAAGCCAAGCCATTCCTCCTCTCTGCATTTGTCGCTCAGTGTCAGGATCCGACAACATTTCAAAGCACCAGACCTCTTTGTTTATTGGCCAGTGTGACTGTTGTCCTTGAATATGTCTCTTTCAAGCTGGGGGCCGGTGTCACTTCAGCAGCGTCCCTCAGAAGCCATGCTGCTCTGTCTCCCATCCTGGTGTCCTCCAGGGACTCCTGTCTGTTTCTCTCAAGGGTATAGCCCATCTCCCGGAGACTGTCTCTGTCACTCTGTGCTTCTCTGCTTGTGATTCTCAGGGTCCCTAGTCTCCTAGTAAGAGCCCCCTGACCCCTCAGGCTCTCACTCAGGGTGGCTTGATTTCCTGTCACCCTGGGAGGGGGTGGAAGGGGCATGGCATGGGGAAGGGGCATATTTACACTTGTAAAGGGACTTGCTGAACCAGTTCCAACTGTGGGGTTGGGGTTCAAAAGGGGCTGTCCTCAGTGGGGCCGCAGGCCACCCAGCCCAGCCCTGCAGGCCTCCCTGCACCCCCCCACCCACCCAGGGCAGACCCGGCTTCCTTTCCCTGGGGCAAATTCCCCTCATCGGCTCCTCCTGGCCAGCCTCCTCCTCCTCCACAGCTCACCCCCTCTCAGCTCAGAGACCTTTTTCCGGAGTCCCTCCCTCTGTTTCCCCTAGCAGAGTCTGTCCTCCAAGTCTGGCATGGTGCCTACAACTCTGGTCTCCTCCCCCAGCTCATGGCCAGCACCATCCTGCCCAGGTCAGCTTCCGCAGGGCCCCCTCCCCGGCTATGGGCAATATAGATGGCTCCCTGGGTCCTCCCATCCTGAGTCCCAGAACACCCTCCCCAAGTCTGGCCCAGCTCAGTTGCTCCCCCATCTCCTGCCTCACAGCCCTGCCCATCCTATGCTCCCAGGAAAGCGCCTTCAGCTGGGGAAGGGGTCGGGCATCCCCTCCCCCGCACCGCCTGCCCGTGGGCGGCGTGCTCAGCCTGGTGATGTGGTAGCGGCGGGTGGGGGGGGGCTGTCTGGACACAGGCCCCTTTGTGCCCAGCCCGACTTGGCTGCTTGGTATGAGGCTCAGCTGCTCCCAGATCCTCACCCAGAGGAGAGAGGGGAGGCTTTGGAGGGGCTGGAGCTGGGGGGCTCTGGACTTGGGCTCCCTCTCAGTGTCCCACCTCTCCGATGTTGGCAGCAGCTGCTCAGGTGGGCTGGTGCCCCTGGCACAGGGTGCTGGGGGGCTGGTGAGGGAGGCCCCGCTTGGCACCCTCCAGCAGCCGCTCCTTTCTTCTCCCCTTCTCTGCCAGGCCAGCCAGCAGCTCCTGCCAGCAGAGGGGAAGCCCAGGGTGGGGGTGGGGGCTTGGGGGGGGTCCATGGTGTCCCCGCTGGGAGAGGCCCAGAGGGTCAGGCACGGGAGCACAAATGCCTTTCTGATGGTAGCTTCTCTCCTGTCCCCACAGAATGGTGCTGTGCCCAGCGAGGCCACCAAGAGGGACCAGAACCTCAAACGGGGCAACTGGGGCAACCAGATCGAGTTTGTACTGACGAGCGTGGGCTATGCCGTGGGCCTGGGCAATGTTTGGCGCTTCCCATACCTCTGCTATCGCAACGGGGGAGGTACCCAGTGGGCACAGGGCAGGGACCTCCCACTTGGATAGAGCCTACCCACCAAGGCCCGGGCTACCCCCTCCCTGGTACAGACCCCTCTCCAGACAGGCTGGCCTCTGGCTCTCATCTCCTTCGCCCCAATCCCTGGCTTAGGTACCCTTTACCTAATGCACAGGTCACCCCCTGACCCTGGCTGTCTGCTGTTTGGGCCTGACCCTGCTAGCCTGCTCCCTTGAGGTCAAGAGAGGTAGAAAAAGGCGCCCCAACCTCCCAAGGTTTCCTGTCTTATACCCCCTGTGTGTCAACAGCCCCCTAAATGGTTCAGGGAATTTGAGGGTCCCAGCGACTTATGTTTGTGACTTTGCTTGGTGAAGCCATCAAATCCCACCCTAACATGGTGGGTCTGGGGCCTGGGTTCTGTTCAGGAAGCCTCTGCCAAATTAAAAGGCAGGCTGTGGGTAGGATACCTCAGACCCAGGCTCTTGCTCAGTGCGTGGCCCACCCTGCTCCGGTCTTAGCGGATCGCAAAGGTTTTGCTGTTGGGTTCTCAGCAGGAAGAGGGTGGGACCCCCCAAGCCCGCCCTGAGCCAGCCCTTTCCCTGCCTGCCAGGCGCCTTCATGTTCCCCTACTTCATCATGCTGATATTCTGCGGGATCCCTCTCTTCTTCATGGAGCTCTCGTTCGGCCAATTTGCAAGTCAGGGCTGCCTGGGGGTCTGGAGGATCAGCCCCATGTTCAAAGGTGAGGCCTGGGTGGGGTACACAGCCTCCCCCCCCCGACACACACACACGCACGGGCCTCTGGGGGCCTACTCACCCATCTGTACAAACACCACCAACCCCTACGGAGCCTTGGTGCTGACCCCAAGCCCTACATCAATGGCCAAGGCCACAGATGCGTGCTGGGATCCATGTTTACTTGGCCTCCGCCCTCCTCACCTACCATGTGTATACACAAAGCCCCTGGGCCCCCCAGCTCACCCCTGCTAAGGCCTTGACCTGTCCCTTCAATGGCCCTCCACAAAAGCCTGCCCCGGGGGGCCCTTCAACATTAACCTTGCCTCCTTCAGCTAGATGTGTGAGGCTGCCCCCCTTCCCTCCGCCTCCCAGGTGTGGGCTATGGCATGATGGTGGTGTCCACGTATATTGGCATCTACTACAACGTGGTCATCTGCATCGCCTTCTACTACTTCTTCTCGTCCATGACGCACGTGCTGCCCTGGGCCTACTGCAATAACCCCTGGAACACGCCCGACTGCGCTGGGGTGCTGGACGCCTCCAACCTCACCAACGGCTCCCGGCCCGCCTCCCTGCCTGGCAACCTCTCCCACCTGCTCAACCACTCCCTCCAGAGGACCAGCCCCAGCGAGGAGTACTGGAGGTGAGGCCCCGCTGGCCCCGGGCTTGCGGGGGACACCTGGCGCCAAGCCTCGGCTCTCCCCCCTTGCCATCGGGCAACTTTCTGTCAACCAGGTGGGGTGCGGGGACCGGAGCCGGGCAGAGGGGCATCAAGAGGCCTAAGGAGTTTACAGACTAGCTCAGGAGAGGAGGCTGACACAGCCGGGAATGATGGAGGGCTGGACGCTGAGTTGAGCGTCCTGACAGGGCGCGGTGAGGGAGGGCTCCAGCAGTCGGGCACGTCTGCAGGGCAGAGTCAGGGGGCAGCGGGGTGTCTTCCTGGTGAGAACAGTGTGAACAAAGGCCTCAGGTCCCAAAGGAGAAGAGGCTGGTCCTGACCCTGAGGGGAAGCTCTTCTGATGAGACTCACAGGTGTGTGGGAAACTCATGGGCCCTAAGGGAGCCTAGGAGGGGCCACCAGCCTTCCTGGAGAACTTATATGAATTAAGCGTAGACTTACCACTGCAGGGCAGAGGGAGCCATAGAAGTTTCCTGAGCCTAGGGCTGTCATCATCAAGCCGTGCTTAGGAAAGACAGCCTGGCACTAGTATGCTCTGTGGTGAGAGAGACTGGAGTCTCAGGGCTGGCTGCAGGGAAGCTGCTGTTGGAGGTGTTCTAGAACACCTTGTCCCCTCGGGGTGGGCGTGAGGGCGCAGGGGGACGTCCTGAAGGAAACCCCCCATGTCCTGTTGGGGAACTGGTGGGAAGAGAGTGTTGGGGGCCTGGGGGTAGGCCATGTTAATTCATTCCATATCTACAGGGTCTGCTCCGCCAGGCCCTAGGTACCCATGGGGTCTGAAGAGCCCTGAGCCCCTCGCCTGAGGAGTCCCCAGGCCTGAGGGGGGTCGTATTAGGGCAGGTGCTCAGGGGTGTGGTAGGGGCACAAAGACGGGGTGGTCGGTTCTGAGGGACGGGGCCGTGAGGAGGTGGTCCAGAAGGCTTCCCTAGGAGGGAGGAGGGAGGTGTAGAAGGATTGGGAGGGACGTGGGCAGGAAGGCCGTGGCCGCGAGGTGGCGAACTGGAGACAGGTAGGAGAGGAGAGGCCAGAGGCATCATGAGGCACAGGGCTTCCCGTGCCGGGCTGCAGTTTGAAGTTTCTCCGCCACGTGGTAGAGAGCCATAGGCGAGCTGGCTGAGGCCCCGGAGAGACAGAAGTCCTAGCAGGTCAGAGTCCTCTGAGCCTGGTCCCAGTGCTCTGACCCCACAGGGCCCGGCTTCCCTGCGCCGGCCGCTGTGCTGTGTCACCGACATTCAAAGACAGCTCGGATGTGGTCACTACCCACAGGGCTCGCGGTGTAGACAACAGCGAGGGGCAGGCAAAATTACCTCCAGGCTGACTCAGTCCCTCAGTCGCTGGACAGATCATTTCTTGAGCACCTAGTGGGTACCAGACACAGCACTCGGAAGGGAGACAGCGTGAGGAGTAAGACACTCGGCTCCTGCCCTCGTGGAGGTGCCATCTACTGAGAGGACTAAGCAATTTACTGCCCAGTTAGGTATTCTACTGTGTTTAAGGGATGGTGTGGTCAGGGCAACTCGATCTAGACTTGGAGGGGTGGGAACCTGAGGAGCACAAAGCCTCACCCGCACCCTCGGGGCTGTTCCAGAGGCTCTCACCCCAGCCGGTCTGCCAGGGAGGCCCAGCTAGGGCCAGCCACGGCCGAGTTCTGGAGATTTTATCCAGGGCAATCAGAGGGGAATAGTCCTCAAAGAAAACTCGTCATGGGTTGGGGGGGCCCAGTGGGTGGCCCATTGAACTCTCCTCAGGCAGGGCTGGAGTCAGGCCTGCCTCACTAGCCGCTGTCCCAGGCGGGGCTCCTTCCCGGCAGGATGGCTTCCTGCTGCCCCCTCCTGGAAACCCTGGGAAATGACCCTTGAGAGGCCTGCCCAGGCTGGCTTCAGCAAGGAAGCGAGAACAAACATCGCCGTTCCCTGGGCACCTACTATGTGCCAGGCATATTACCTCCTATCACAGCATCCCTATTTTTCAGATTCAGAGACTGACTGATGTTCAGAGGTTAAGGAACAAGGCAGCAGCGCTGGGTCAGGAGATGTGCCTTCCACTGTGCCTGGCGCCTGGTGTGAATCAGGCCAATGATACTCTGCAGGTGTCCTTGGTCCACACTCTTCAACACCCCTTTGGAAAGCTGTGTGATCACATTTGAGCCCCACCACAACCTTGTTTGCTAGCTCATGCAGGTAGTATAAAATAGTCCCGTTTTACAAATGAGGGAAGCAAGTCAGAAAAACGATTAGGAGACTCCTCTAAAGCAAGAGAAGCACAAAGGACAGATTTCTGAGCCCCAGTCTGCCTCCTGCCCACCCCCTGGCCCACGGTCTCCTCTCTCCCACCAGCCCTTCAGTCTTGTTTTACGATCCTCTGTGTGCTGGTCTGATTCCAACCTGTAGGCCCTAAGTAATGACCAGGCTCTCACCTCCACAGCCCGTGGTGCACAGCAGAGCACCTGAAACCCACTGGGACTCAGGCCCCAGCACCCTGCTCCCAGTGTCTTCATGGCAGCTCTGGAGTAGCACAGACCTCACACAGATTGTGGCTCTGTCACTCATCAGCTGTCTGGCCTTGGGAGATCGATCACCAAACCTCTCTAAATCATAGCTGTTTGTCCATTAAATGGGAGGGGTCACAACCTACCTTGTTATAAAAAAGGAATGAGGCCATGCGGCACCACTCCGAAGAAGAGGGACGGGCGCTCAGGAAGCACAGTGATGCCTGCCGACAGGTTCCAGCCGCTGCTGGAGACACAAAGCAATACATTAGGCTGTTTTGTTCTCAAGGAGTTGGTCACCGGGCTGGAGCAATTAAAAAATAATGCAGAATAATTCTAGAGATGTTATGCATCGAGAGCCAACTTGTAAATAGGCTGGGTTCCAAGAGTTCTTAGGTTAATTGATCTCAAAAGCACATGGTCCCAAAACAAAACAAAAAACTAAATATGGTGCCATAAAAAGAGAGGTAGAATTCACTACTTGGTACCCAGGCTAACATTCTAAACCTTTTAACCCCCCGGTATTGTAATGCTGTGCCCTTGCAAATCATATAAATGATTAAACATAATCATATAAAACACTACCTGTTTAACATATATAATTAGACAAAGTTAAAAAAAAATCTTTTGAACAAGAAGTGGTTTCTTTTCATGGAATGCTATTGGCTGAAGTAAAGCAGCTCTGAGTAAGCCCCAGAAGGACCCTGTGGCTATTCTGGAGGGCTTCCAGCACGCAAGTGCCCCGAGCAGGTGTGCCCGGTTGGCTGGGGCCTGGGCAGCCCGGAGCCCCCAGCCCAGTTGCCTTCAGCTTTGAGTGACCTTGTCTGCTTACCTCAATAGCCCCCAGAATACTTTTTCTGTGTGCTATGAAGGAAAAAAGATTGGAAAGCACTGTCAAAGGGGACCAGGTGACTCTTGCTGGTGGTCCCACAGCTTCTGAACTTCTGCCATCCCCTTGCCTTTGGTTCCCCCATTGACTAAAAGCCTGGAGTTGGGCACGTGTTGGACAGCGCCCTCTGCAGGTCGTGGAGCGAAGGGCGGCTTCCAGGGAATTTGGGAGGCTGCGAAGAGGCAGGCCCGCCCAGCAAACACCAAATCCCAGGCCTGGCAACATTGTCCCATGAGGGGACAGAGTAACAATCGCATCACAAGGTATTAAAAACGTTGCCATGAGGTTTGAGAACTGACTTGGGAAAGAAAGTGGGAATAGCTGAGAATGATAGAGGACAGCCTATGAGCTGTCCTGAGAGGTTCGAGCTGTAAGAGGGGACAGAAGGGAGCCTGTATTTACCTAAATCCAGCCACAAATTATGCTAGGTTGGTGTTATTATGCCCATTTTACAGATGAAGAAACTGAGGCTCAAGAGCTTACCTCTTGCTCATCACTTCTAGCCTGGATAATTGCAACAACCAAGCTGGTCCCCACTCCCAGGTTCTCTCCTTTCTACCTCCAGATCCATTTACCACAACGTTCACTCATTCATTCAACAAATATCTTTTGAGTACTGCTCTGTGCCAGGCACTTTGCTAGGCACTGGGGGCGCTGGGTACTCCTGCCTTCCTAGAAAATGGATGACAAACAAAATAAATAGGTTAAAAGAAAAAAAAAAAAGGAGACATACGCTGTGGAGGAAAATCTAGCAAAGGGGGTAAGGAGTGCTGGGCGGGGCCAGGGCTGCCATTTTAAGCAGGGTAGCCAGAAAAGGCCCCTTTGCAAAGAGGGTACCCGGAGTAAGTACCTGAAGGAGATGAGGAGGAAGAAAGTGATGCTGACAAACCCAGCTACGTAATTTGTGGGGTCCAGTGTGAAGTGGACATATGGGGCCCCTTGTTCAAATGTATTCAGAATTTCAAGATGTCAATGGCAGAGCATTAAGCCCAGCACGAGGGCCTTCTAAGCAAGGGGCCCTGTGTGACTGCACACGCCTCACACCCATGTGTACATAGGGATGTTTGGGGAAAGAGCCTCCAGACAGAGGAAAAGGTCGTGCGTGCAAAGGCCCTGAGGGAGGGGCGTGCCTGGCATGACTCAGGAACTACGAGGAGCCCGGTGCAGCTGGAGCAGTGAGCGGGCCGTCAAGTGGGAGGACAGGAGACCAGAGGGGTGGCAGGTTGGGGACAACGGACCACTTCGGGCCTTGCAGCTGCTGGAAGGACTTAGGCTTTTCCCTGGTGAGAGATGGGAGCCGCTGCAGAGTTTTGAGCTAAGGAGAGACCCTGAAAGTGCTCTTACCAAACCCTTCAGAAGCTTCCCATTGCTCGCAGGGTAAAATTCAAACTTCTCAGCCTTGCCTTCGTGGCTTCTTATAATCTGGCTTCTTCCTATCATTCACCCTTCTCTCTTCCCTTTACCTCCTGTCCCAGCCTTGCGGAGCTGCTGACAGACGCAGGCTGGCCATGTTCTTTCACGATCCCCTGTCCTGCTGAGTCCTGCGTCCTCAGCCTGGCATGTGCTGCTCCTTCTCTTCACCCACCTGCTCCCATTCCTCAAACCTTGGCTCAAGCCTCACCTCTTCTGGGAAGTCTTCCAGTGTGCCCCTCCACCACCCTTCCAGTGGTGTCCATATGCCTGATCCAGGTGTCTATGCCCAGCACCTCGCACAGGGCCCGGCACAGAAGCATCCAGTTGATTGAAAAGGCACTGCTGGGGTGGCGTAGGGCGCCAGATAGAGCCGCACATACATAGGGGAGGAATTTGGGTTCAAGCCTAGGCCTGCAGGCTCCAGAGCCTCCAATCTTTATTCAGCACTCCACCACCTCCCTCGGTTCATCAGGAATGGAGAAGGCTAGTGTGGGTGAGGAGTTCACAGAAGGCTTCCTGGAGGAGGTGACACCTGATAGGATGTGTCCGGTCTAGAGGAGAAGGCGTTACTAAAGGGAGAAATGAACAAGCCAGGGCCTGGGATGGGCCAGAATAGGGACAGGGAGACCTCCACACTCCCGGGACTGAGGAGGCTGGCCCAGGCTCAGGGTGTTACCCCCAGGCGCCTTTGGGGTCCCGCAGGGGCTGCAAGCAGTGGAGTCTCAGGGCAGCAGACAGAAGGGGTGTGGTGGGGTGGGGGCAGTTGGGGCTGGGGCCTCATAGTGGCACCCTTCTTCCACATGCTGCACCCTCATGAGAAAGAAGGAACCTGCCAGGCTGCGCTCCAGGCCTTGGGAATCAGTCACTGGGCATCAGGGGCCCGGGCCTCAATAGCAGAGTATCCCTTTCCCCAGGCTCTATGTGCTGAAGCTCTCAGACGACATTGGGAACTTTGGGGAGGTGCGACTGCCCCTCCTCGGCTGCCTTGGTGTCTCTTGGGTGGTGGTCTTCCTCTGCCTCATCCGCGGGGTCAAGTCTTCAGGGAAAGTAAGTATACCCCTCCCCCAGTGGGGTCTGTGCCCACCCAGAAAGACCCTGCCTCCCCTGCCGGGGTTGTGTGTAGGGGCTGGGGGCAGGCGGTTGATGAAGGGACATGGGAGGGGAGGAGCGGCCAGAGGGTGGTGGCCGGGGGGCCAGGCAGGGGGTGCCCAGGGCAGGAAGAGCTGGGAGGAGTCCAGCGGAGCCTGTCTCGTGCACAGGTGGTGTACTTCACAGCCACGTTTCCCTACGTGGTGCTGACCATCCTGTTCGTCCGAGGTGTGACCCTGGAAGGAGCCTTCATGGGCATCATGTACTACCTGACCCCGCAGTGGGACAAGATCCTGGAGGCCAAGGTGGGCCATGGAGTGTGGCCTGGAAGGGGCGGGGAGGGGCCGAGAGGTGCCCGCCTCTGACCCCCGCTGCTCTGCCCATCCTGCCCCGCAGGTGTGGGGGGATGCCGCCTCCCAGATATTCTACTCGCTGGGCTGCGCGTGGGGAGGCCTCATCACCATGGCTTCCTACAACAAGTTCCACAACAACTGCTACCGGTGAGCCCCCTCCACCCCCCCCGCCCCGCCAGCCCCGGGCTGCCTCCTCCACCCAGCAGCCTTCCCCAGGCTTTCCCAGATCCCCAGACCCAGTGCAGCCTCCTGGGCCTCCCCCGAGGGCCCTGCATCACACTCACGGCCTGAAGGTCCTGGGAGCTGTGGGTCTGGAGTGGGTCGCTGGGGAACACAGAGAGAAGAGGCGGGGGGAATGGTGATGCCCCAGGGGCCTCTGGGGGTTCGAGAGCCTCAGCCCACCTAGGAAGGCCCAGAGCAGACCAGAAAAGAGGTTGAGGGAGCCTCTGTTCCTAAAACGTTCCATCTCAGGTCTCCTCTCTGCCCTACTGGGCAAGGGAAGCCAGCCGCGTGTCTTGAGCCCTGTTCTCCCCCCCCCCCCACCACCAGGGACAGCATCATCATAAGCATCACTAACTGTGCCACCAGCGTCTATGCGGGCTTCGTCATCTTCTCCATCCTGGGCTTCATGGCCAATCACCTGGGTGTGGACGTGTCCCGTGTGGCTGACCACGGTCCTGGCCTAGCCTTCGTGGCTTACCCTGAGGCCCTCACCCTGCTGCCCATCTCCCCACTCTGGTCCCTGCTCTTCTTCTTCATGCTCATCTTGCTAGGGCTGGGCACTCAGGTATGAGGCACGGGACGTGGGCCAGGGGCCTGGTGAGGGTGGAGGCCGGGCCGGAGGCCAGGCCCCTGCTCTGATGGCCACTTCCTGCAGTTCTGCCTCCTAGAGACGCTGGTCACGGCCATTGTGGATGAGGTGGCAAACGAGTGGATCCTGCAGAAAAAGACCTACGTGACCTTGGGTGTGGCCGTGGCTGGCTTCCTGCTGGGCATCCCCCTCACCAGCCAGGTAAGCCCCGAGGGACAGGCTGGGCTGGAGTGGCCCGGGAGGGGGGCATCGTGGGCGGAGGAGCCAGGCCTCGGTGCTGCCGGCTCAGCTGCCCCCTGGCCCACAGGCAGGCATCTACTGGTTGCTGTTAATGGACAACTACGCGGCCAGCTTCTCCCTGGTTGTCATCTCCTGCATCATGTGTATGTCCATCATGTACATCTACGGTAAGTGCGCAAGCTTCTGTGGCCTCTCGTGCACCGGCCCCTGGCCTCCCCACGCTGCCCTGCCAGGCTTGTTGACACCCCTCTCTCAGGGCACCGGAACTACTTCCAGGACATCCAGATGATGCTGGGATTCCCACCGCCCCTCTTCTTCCAGATCTGCTGGCGCTTTGTCTCTCCAGCCATCATCTTCGTAAGTTCCTCGGCTGCCCGCCCCCCTCCCTGCTGCCCCCTGGCAAGTGTCCTTCTCTTGGGAACCAGCGGAGGGAGAGCAGGAGCCCATCCGTCTGGCCAGAGCTCCCCCTCCCCCTCCCCGCCCCGACGGGGTCTCCGCACCCACCACGCCGGCCACTGGGAGCCTGAGAGAGGTTGCATAGGGTCAGGCGGAGACTCAGAACCAACAGGGCACTGGCCTCGGCTTGGGAAGGGAGCTTAGAGCCCTTGTTCGGCTGAAGACGGTGCCCGGCCTCGGCAGGGGAAAGCAGGCTGGCAGCGGCTGAGAGCCGGCCCTCCCTCCCTCCCTCCCTCCTGCGTGCTATCCCCAGAGGGGCCTCAGGAACAATTAGTGATATTGGTGGCAGCCTCCATCGGCACGGCGTGCTGATCCCTCTTAGCTGAGGTGCTCGGGGTACGCGGTGTGAATGCATGGGTGTTCCAGAAGCGGGTTGTGCAAGTCAGATGTCAGCTCCAGATCAGAGGCAACCTCCTACGCCTTCCAGGCACTGGAGTGGCCTGGCTCTGGAGAGGGAAGGCTCTCCTTGCCCCAGTATTCAACACCTGGGAGACTCCCATCAGGGAGCGGAATTGGAAGGACCTCGCGCCCTGGCCGGGAACTGGGCACTTTCTGCATGTTGTTCACGTATCAGCTCATGTGGTCCGACTCTCCAAGGCATCACTGTTATCCCACTGGACAGATGAGGACACTGAGGCACAGAGATGTTAAGTAATTGACCCAAGTTTACACAGCTAGGAACTGACGGAGGCGCTGCTGGAAGCAGGGCGTCCCGTCCGGAGCCTGTGTGCTGGGCCAGGGCTACACCAGAAACGGCCGCAGGAAGGACGACTGGTCCATGGACTAAAAACCATCTGGTTTTGCTCCTTTATGCTCAGGGTGGGAGGAGGAGGCACAAAGTGTTTGTTGGTAGAACGGTCGCTCCACAGAGAAGAGGCAGGACCATGGGAGTGACGGGAGGGTCAGCCTAGTGGCAAGGGCAGTGTTCAGTCACGTCCCTGTCATGTCCAGCTTCTCTGGGCCAGAGGGGGCTCAGCACCGGATTTCCACTTTGGCTCATATTTCTGGGGGCGGAAAAGGCCCCTGAGGGCTGAGGTCTCCACCACATGGGGTGTGGGATCTTCCCCGAGGCTGGCACAGGCACCAGCCCTGGCCACTGGCCCAGCTTTGAAACAGGAGCAACGGAAGCCTCCTGTAAGTGGCCTCCTGTAAGTGGTGGGAAGCGGGGGAGGCCGGGCACTGCTGCCAAGCGCCGTGCCCTCTGGGGGTCGCGGCTCAGGCCGAGGCCGGGGACCCTCCTGAGGGGAGCTCATCCTCCAGAGCTCCGAAGGGGCTGCCACCCTGGCAGAGACCTGGGGTACCAGCCAAGGCAGAGCAGGAGGCAGGAAGGAGGCAGGCCCAGGAAGGCTCCAGAGGGGCAGGCTCAGCCCGGGTCCCGTGTCTCCGAGAGACTGAGGCAAAGTGGGCAGCGCCCTCTCTGTGCTCAGAAGCCAGGCCAGAGTCGCCCTAAGCTGAGGACTGCAGGCCCCGAGGACTTACGATTCTGGGCTGTGGTGTCTTCTTTGGGGGCTTTACTTTAGATTTCTGAAAGGTTCTTTTTGACAAACCATCCTTCTGTCCGCTGAAACAAGAGATTTGTTTACACCTTGATCAGCATCTAGTTCCACTCAGGAAACTTGTCATAAGCTCCTACTATGCGCAGCATCCCCGGAGGGGCCCCCCCAGTGGATGTGGGTCTTGCCGTCCTGAATTTGGTCACTAGGACGCAGCTGAGGGCTCAGGAGGTGGATGCTGAGCCCCCCTGGGGAATGGCCCGTGAGCCACCTGCCCATCCTTCTGCTTCCTTAGTTTGTTGTCGTTGCTGTGGCCCGGGCTTCATTTCCCATCCCACTTGTCTCGTTCCCAAACGGTTCCCGGTCCCCAGCCTGCCATTCAGCATTTCTAGACTTTGGAGCCTCCCTTATGGCCCCACAGCCATAGACAGGCAGGGCTTTGCCCTCACCACCCCCCCATCGCTCTCATCTTTGCCTGGGGTCTGACGGAGGAAATGGAGAGGATTCTCCAGAATAAATGCGGGAGGAAGAGGCTGGGTGTGGCTGAGACACTGAGACTAGGCTAATGCGGCCAGAAGGGTAAGTGAGGTCTCGCTGGGAGATGGTAAAAGCTCCAAGGCCCAGGATTTGGCAAAAGGGAGCCATTGAGTCTTTGAGCAGAACTGACTGACTTCAAAGGTGATTTCAATTGTTCCCTGGCCGGTTCAGGATTGTGATGAAGGCACACCTCTCCTCTTCCATGATGCCTGATGCCTACCTGCCCCCCAGGCCCTGGACCCTTGGTTCCATCTGCTTCTTCCACTACCCAAACCTTGACATTGCCCCTGTCCTGCCCAAAATGCCTCTTCCTAGTTTGGGAGACTGGAGAGGAAGGGGAGGGGTGCTGGGAGGGGGACTGAGGACTGAAGGGGGGCGGTGCTGGGCAGGCCTCACGGACACTCCCATCTCCTACCCTCTGCAGTTCATTCTCGTCTTCACGGTGATCCAGTACCGGCCAATTACCTACAACCACTACCAGTATCCAGGCTGGGCTGTGGCCATCGGCTTCCTTATGGCTCTGTCCTCTGTCATTTGCATCCCTTTCTATGCCCTGTTCCAGCTCTGCCGCACAGATGGGGACACCCTCCTCCAGGTGAGGGGTGGGGGCAGGCCACAGCCAGGTGAACGAACAGGGAGGGGGTGCGTGGATGGGACTTCCTGGCTGCCTACTGAAGCACCCACCCACCCTCCATGTCTACCTCTCCTGCAGCGTTTGAAAAATGCCATGAAGCCAAGCAGAGACTGGGGCCCCGCCCTCCTGGAGCACCAGACTGGGCGCTATGCCCCCACCATCCCACCCTCTCCTGAAGACGGGCTGGAGGTCCAGCCGCTACACCCGGACAAGGCCCAGATCCCCATGGTGGGCAGTAACGGCTCGAGCCGTCTGCAGGACTCCCGGATATGAGCGCAGCTGCCCGGGGAGGGCCCCCCCCCTGCTCCCACCACAGAGACTGGAGAGGCAGGGGACGGGTGTCACCACCTGCCCTGCCATGCCCTGGCCGGGGCGGCTGCTGTCACCTTGGTCACCCCTGGTAGCGTGGTCATTTGTGCTCGTGTCCCCAGTGTTTACAGGTCCTTTGGATGCCCAGATGGCAGCTGGGGATGGGTGTGGGCGATGGGAGGGTTGCCGGTGGGGGGGGGGGGCAAAGCACTTTGGAGGGGGGGTCTCAGGCCAGGTCCCCAGAGATCTGCTGGGCTTTACACGGCCTCTGATGCCCCCACACTCTGCCCTGAGCTGTGGTTCTAGGTGGCCCCCCTACCTGTCCCCTTCCTTGGGCCTCCAGCCTCCTGACCAGTGTTCCTGCCCTCAGAGCAGACCCCAGCCTCTGCCCAGGCAAATTTGGGTCTTCCTATCCAGGGGCAGGGTGAGGGGCTAAGGGGCTGTACAGTGTTACTTGTCAGGCTGTGCCGCCCAGCCCTGTTTGTCTGTGTAATTATTTTTGTAAAAATCGTATTATCTGTGGTTGCCACTCCTGTGCCCCCAGCCTTGGGCCCCCTCTGTCTTCCAGGCCTGCCTGCACCTCACTCGGCTGCTCTGGGGTCTCTGCACCTCATTCCAGCCCTGGCTGTCAGGCCCAGCCAGCAGAGGCCCACGACCCAGCAGCCTGCCCAAAGCACTAGTTTCTGGGGGGTAGGGGTGGGGCGCTGCTCAGCAGGAGGTTTGAGCCCAGAGCCCTGGGGAAAGGGACCTTACAGGAAACCCCTTTGCCCTCTCTCCACCAGGTGAAAGGTCCAGTCCTCCCAAACTGGGCTGCCCTTGTTCATGTGCCAAATGGCCCCAGCCCGCGTGCCGCATCCCCTCTCTGGAGCCAGAGCTCCTCCCCTGCCCCCAGCCCCGCAGTGTCCATCTGTCCGTCCTCTGTGCCCCTCTGTGCAGTGACAGCGCCGGAAGAGCCGCCTCTAATCCTCTGTAGCAATAATGGTGCACCACCCACCCCTACCCCTCCATGCACCACTAGGATTTTAAAGTCCATAGATTTTAATGAAATTTCTATTCCTGTCTCTGAGCTGCCACTGTGCTTTGTCTGAGTCCCCCAGCGGGACAAGAGTCGGTGCTGGGATGAGACTTCTGCCGGCCAGGCCTTTGTGGAGGACTGGAAGAAGAAAGGCCAAAGGCCCTGATGGTCAGAACGAGACACCAGGGGTTTGGCAAGGGGGTGGGGCAAGACGGGCCGGACAGATGGACAGCCTTGCGTCCTGGCGAGGGCCCAACCAAGACTAGATCTGAAGCAGGCTGGGCCACAGCATCTGAGAGGTGGCAGCGGCAGACGGGGTGAGTTCCAACAGAAGCAGAAGCCGAAGCCTACTTCCCGACCAGTCCTTCAGGTGGGGGCGTGGGGTGCCGCGCTGGACACTGGAGTAGACGCGGGCCTTTTCCCCGTGCTGCACTGAAGCCTCCGTCGCCCGCGGCAGGTGGCAGTCAGGTCTCGGGGGCAGCGCTCCAGCGGAGGGGCAGGCAGGCAGCCACGGCGGGGCCCCGCCCAGCCTCCTGCAGCCCCGCGGGGGCAAGGCCAACCTCCGGGACCCTGGCTGGAGGAGCCCACGGGCTGCTGCCTGGACAGGAAAGAGCAGCTGTAAGTGAACAGTGGCCTGACCCTTCGGCCACCCTGTCCCGTCGTGCCGCCGCCCTGGTTGACCTGTGGCTGGAGGAGACACAGGATGGCCTCAGAGGGGCCTGCAGCTCCCGTCGCATGGCCGCCTTCTGTTCCTTCAGCTCTGCAGGAGAGGCACCTCTGAGGCACAGCGCCCAGCAGCTCTGGGGTGTGTACAAGTGTGGCGTGGGGAGCAGGAGGCTGGGGGCTCTGGGGCCTCCTTGGGGTCCTCACCTGCCAGGGTGGGCTCTAGGGTTGCCTCAGAGGGCCGGGGTGCCCCTGTATACTCCTCTTCCAGGCAGCGCTGCAGGGAAAGCTGGCTCAGTGCCCCGGCCTTAGGCAGGGGTGGGGCAGGGCAGGACCCCCAACCTGGCTCAGGCAGTCCCTGGTCGGGAGGGGACACTAGCCCCCCTGAAAAGCCCAGCTTGGTGAGGTGGTGGCTGGCTTGGACTCAAGACTTAGGGGAAGGTAAGGAAGCAAAGACAGGGACAAATTCAGCAAGTTAATCTAAAAGTGCTGACCTTGGGCTAAGGGGCTCAACCAGAATCTTCTGGATTCGCACACACAGGGATGGTACCCATGTGAGAAATGGCCACAGGACCCACACACACCTTTCCATGCACATATGCACACAGACACACATGCACGTGGCTCTCACGCACCAGGTAAGAGGCAGCGGTGTGTACACTTAGCAGAAAGGCTCTGGGCAGGGAGGCCCAGGGCTGCCGCTCACCTGCAGGGTGGGGATCATCCTCTCCAAGGTGTGACACTCCCCCTCCAGGAGGCTCCTGGAGGATGGTAGCCGCGACCAGCTCCACAGGACCCAGTCTCAGCTGAGCCCTCCACCCAGCCCCTAACCTCCAGCTTCCCCGCCTCCAGGCCGTCCTGCCTCAGCCCACCCTGCTTCCTGTGGCCGGGTGCTGCCCGCAGCCTTCCACCCCCCACCAGCCTCCGCCAGGGCAGGATGTGTCCTCCCCGTGTCTACTTCACAGCGCCCACCATCCTCTCTTCTACATTATGGCAGGGGCCTCCTCCAGCCTCCCTTCTCCCCCGCATCACAGCCCCTCCCCTGCTTAAAACCCTTCCATGGTTCCTCAGGCCTCAGAGCCTGCTGGTATCCCTGCTTGACCATTTCCTGGCAGCAACCACGGCAGCCCTGCAGCAACCTGCCCTCGCCACCCCTCAGCCTTCCCCTCTTGGTCTCCCCACCAGGTGCGTGGCCACCTTCTCCTCTCCCGCAGTCCAGTCCCAGTACTTCAAGACCTGTCCAGGCCCCATCCACCCTGTGTCCATCCCCAACACACACTCAGGGGCCTCACCGCAGATGTCCAGCAACCTGGTCGATGCTGGACACATTCAGTTGGTCCTTGATAACGCTGAGGTCCCTCTGACTGCTGCTGGCAGATGAGGTCAACGTTACTCTCCCCATGTTGCCTCACCCCAGGCCTTCAGGACACAAGTGCCACTTCTTCTAGACAGTTCTGTGTCTTTTCTTGCAAAGGCAACATAGTATAGTGCAAAGGGGAGGAGTTCTGGAGCCTGGTTTACAAATGGGCTCTGTCACCCTTCAGTGTGTGTGACCTTGGGCAAGTGGATTATCCCTTCTGAGCTTTAGTTCGTCATCGGTAAAAGGGGGCCATCATTCCCCCAAAGGGTTGTGTGAGAACTAGAAATAAGTTGCTGCTGCCATTCACTTATGAACACGCTACTGCTCCTTTATCTCATTCAGTCCCCAGCGATCCCTAGCCCAGCTCTCGTTGATCCCTCCATGTGGTTGTTGGAGGTTCAGCTCCAGGCCAGGAACTTCTCCGTGGAGCCACATGGAACCCACCAGCTGGCTGGGGTTCTCTGCCAAGCAGGGACAGATCCCTCCTCTCCTACCACCACTTTACCTGGGTTCACCAGCTCTCATCTGCAATATCTCCTGTTCTGGCAAATCACACCTAGGCTCCTCCAAGGCAAAGCGCAGGACCCTGGGGCTATACTGGACCCAAGCCTGGGTCTGGTCCCTGCAGAAGGTGCACAGAAGGTAATTTAGGGGCTCCTTTCAGAGAACCATCAAAGGCAATCCTGGCCCCTTATCAGGCGCAGGGCTAGCCCCTCTTAGTTCTGCCGCAGGGCCTAGCCCTAGCCCTAGGTCTGAGGTTCCCACCTGCCCTCGCAGATGGCCTTCTGGCGGAGCCCCAGGAGCAGCTGCCTCAGTTCCTGGCGCACGAGGTCTCTTAGGAGGGGCGGTGGTGCCAGAAGGGAGGAGGGGTCAGAGGTGGGGCAGGAGCCAGAGGCTTGGGAGGATCGAGCCTCTTGGAGCAGTGACTGTAGCATCACCACCTGCAAGGAGAGCTGGGACACCTTGCGACTGGGGAGAGAAGTGACGGGAATGAAGGGGGCTGGGGGACTGAGGGGCAGAGCGGAGTCAAGAGGGCTGGGCGGACAGTGAGATCCGGCAAGATCTCGAGAGCTATCGGGCAGGACTAGGGACCCGGAGGAGGTGGGGAAATCACCCGAGTCGTGGGACAGGCCTGGACTGTGGCCCATCTGCCCACTCCCCACCTCTGCCCGCAGCTCCAGGCTCAGGTCCACCGTCGTCTCCCCCAGAATCCTCTTCACTTCGGGCCGCTCCGGGAGCGGAACATGTTCCTCTACCAGCTCCCACAGAGACGGGGAGTCCCGGAGCATGGCCCGCCCGCGCCGCCGCCCCTCGTCGAGCGGCCCCAGGCTCGCACCTGCCGGAGAGCCGGTGGCAGCGCCGTGTTACCGGGAGAAGTCTGGTCGCCCAAGGCTGGGCCCCGCCGGCCCGCGCCCCGCCCCTTCCCGGCCCCACGGGCCACGCCCCCAGCCCGTCGCGCTCCCCAGCCTCCCCCAAGCCCCACCCTTGTTCTGCCACCCGTCTCAGCGACTGGAATTACCCGGTCCGGAGCCGCCGGTCTCTGGCGCTGTCCCTTGTGCCCCGCTTCTAGCTGACTCTCGGGGACCGTGGTTCCCGGTCACGGCGCCCAGAAGCCGGGCAGTGGGGACCGGGGCCCTAGCTCTGCCTCTTCCGCGCGGCCGTCACCCGGGAAACTGCGCCGCTACCCAGGCTCCGCCCCCAGCCATTCTAGGTGGGGTGGGCGGTACCAGCTAGCCCGGAGTCGGACCCACCGCCGCGGGGGGTGGTTTGGGAGAGTCCGAACCATCCAGAGTCCTGATGCCAAGCACTCTGGGCTCGTCTCTGGGCTCGTCTCCGGGCAACTTTCGGCTTCGGGGCAGGTGGGAAGAGCCGAGAAATCGGAGCCCACTGGGGTTGTTATTACTTCGTTGCCTCTCCTGGCCTGGAGGCAGCGGCTGGGTAAACCTTTCCTCAGGGTCGGCGGAAGTCTCGCGAGCGGCTGCGCTTGCAGGGGCCTGGGGAACCAGGACAGCCCGGGCCAGACAGACGGGTTAGGCCAGGTGCCCTCCCACAACACACACCGGCTTTGGAATCTGGGCCCAGATTCCCTAACCCCAAGCAGACAAAGGGGCTGCTCCATTCACGTTTTTTACTAAAGCACCCACACAAGTTTCTGTGCAATATACAAACAACGGCCGGCCCTGGGGGCTACTGCCTTCTCTCTGAGACAGGGAGGCGCGAACCAGACTGACTGATCTAAGCCCCACCCGCCCCCCATGCAAAGCCCAACCCCAAGATCCTGGGCAGCGACACAGCACCCCCTCTGGTCCCCTCCTGGGGCTGCTCCTCAGCAGGGGGCGCACCAGAGTTTGCCCCTACAATGTTGAATGAAAAAGGTTTCCCCTCCCCTGGGAACACGGGGGATACCCAAGTCTGAGAATTCCCCCTGGAAGCGATACTGCCCCCTAGTTGTACCTCCCACTCTTCCAGGCCCTAGGGGACTCAAGGGGGGAGAAACTGAGGCACAGAGAGGTGGAGTGACCTAGCCCAGGCCACTCGGTGAGGCAGTGCAGGGGCTGGCCCGACCCTGACAGTGAGGGAGGGCTGGGCTGGGGAGGGAGGGGCAGGAAGAAGGGTTGACCCCAGAGAGGGCCACACTGGAGGGGCTGGCCCGGGTTGGAAGTCCCCCAAAGTAGGTTCTGAAACTTCCAGGTGCAGCTGGGGGGGGGGGCCTATGGAAGACCCTCTGAAAACAGAGCCCACAGTCTCAGTCCTGGGGGATCCCCCACAGAGTAGCCGCCAGCCAGGCTATATAGGTCAGTCCTCTGGCAGGCAATCCTTGGCACTGGGAGCCTTTGTCCATTAGCATCAGCCCCGAGGGGGCCATGACGGGGGCCGCCCAATGTCCACCGTGATATTGGTGAAGAGTGGTTGCCGAGACACCTCCAAGACCTGGTACCGCACTGACCCGATGCCATCCCGCTTCATGGTCAGCTTCGTGTTTTGAATCTTGGTAAACCTAGATAGGATGGAAGTGGGTCCAGATCAGGGCTACCCAATAAACCAAATATGGGATCTCTGGGGCTAAGGCTCAAGCCACCCTGGCTTCTTCCAGGGATGACTCAGTTCTCACCAAACCCTCTGCCCGTCACCTGCTTGGAGCCCTTTTGCTCTGGCATCTGCCTTCAAAACAGAGATCTTACCCCCTTGAGTCCAGAACTGTGACACCCTCACAAATCTCCCTCTGAGCTCATTTCCTTCTAAGCCTTAGACCCAGACACGGGCATCCCATAGGCACCTCAAAGGCAATGTGTCCTGTGTCGGGTCACCGTCTGTACTCCCCAAGCCCCTTCTCCTTGCTCTCTTCTCTGTCCCCCACCACTTACTTAATGAGCAGTCCCCAAGTGCCAGGCTCTGCTCTCAAGTAGCAGGGGCCCAGTCAGGAACAGGACAGTAAGTCCTCCCTCTCATGGCAAGTCTGTCCCACTAGGGGAGACAGGTAACAGACAAGGAGCACGCCAGAATGCTAAGGGAGACAGGGGAGGGAGACCAAGATGGTTGCCTTGGAAGGGGTGAGCGCATGACACCAAGCTGACAGCAGGGGGAAGGGCATTCCAGGCTGAGGTAAGCACAGGCTGACCCTAAACTGGAAATGAGATTTTGCACAGCCAGTGGTTTGAGCTTAATGGGCCAAGGGCGTAAGAACAGCTTGGAGGCTAGAGCATGTAGGGGTGGGGCTCTGTAAGTCAGAGGATGCAGTTTTTTTATTTCTAGGAGTGAGAAGACAGGGATTTTTAGCCCAGTGGGAGGCAAGCGGGGAGGGCCAGAGGACAGGAACAATGGAAGGACGAGGGGGAAACAGGGAAACTCGTGAGAGGCCACTGCAGGAGCCCAGACAAGAGGACAGAGGCTGTGCTTGGGCAGAGGGGCTGAAGGGAAAAGCAGATGGGCTCAGAGATGTTTGGGGAGTGGCACTGACACGACCTGCTGATGGTTTAGACACGTAGGGTAAGCGAACGAAGAATCCGGGAGAACTAGATGTGAGGCAAAAGCAACTAGGTGGATGGAACCATCCATTTCTTTAAGCCAGAAATGCCTTGCTGTCTTGCCACTTCCTCACCCAAGGTCGACATCACTCATTCATGAGGACACCGAGACCTGACACAGGACCAAGGCTGCTGGCATGTGCTTCTGGAGCTCTACTCCCACCCTCATCACAACCGTTTTGATCCTCCCCATCCTTCTGAGCTCAGCTCAGATCCCTCTCCAGGGCCATCCCAACACCAAGCACTCTCCCTCAGATGCCCTGCAGCCCCTCTTCTCCCTTCCCTGCTTGCCCTGGTTTTTTTTTTTTATCTGAACTGCTTTTTCATCAGCTCTCTGGATGCCCAGGGGTTCATGCTCCTGCCAAAGGCCAACCCTCCACTGGTGCTGCAGCCTACCTCCCCGCTCTTACACCCTGCCTTCAGAGCAGAACCACCCTACTGTTCCATCTGGGCATGCGGCAGCCTCACGCCCAGCACACCCCGGGGCCCTGTGATTCCTCCAAGCCTGGTCAGCTTCCTTCCTGGCCTACCAGCAGCCCTGCCAGCCCTTCTTCACCTTCTTCATACTCAAACGGTGATCCTTTCAAACCCAAATCTGATTCTGCCCCCTTCCCTGCTTAAAGCTCTCCCATGACTCCCCAGTGCCCCTGGGACAAAAGTGAAACTCCCAACCTGGGATCCGAGACCCCAAACACCCAGCACTGACCCCATTACTGTCACTCCCAGCCCTCAGTGACTGTAATACCAGAGTCCCAGACTCTTAACTTATACCATGCACGTTCACATTCCAGACTCCTGCAAATACCATTCCTTTTCTCCAAACTGGCCTCCTCCACTAGCCTGGTGAATACAGCACTGTGCTCAAGGTAGGTGTGTGACAAACACGTGCTGAATGAATGATCTTTCAAACTCCGGTTTACCATCACCTCCTCCAGGAGGCCTCCCACCATCACTCCTTCTTCTGCCGGGGCAGCACCTTGCCCTGATCACCTGGTGCCGTAACTGTCTGTCTCTCTCGCTAGAGTGAACTTCACATGGGCTGTCAGGGACTGGCTCTGGGCTCCCCCCAACCCGGCCCTCATCCCCCAGGTTAGAGCAGTGCCAGGAAGCCCTGTCTACACTGCACATGCCCTTGGGTGCCTCTCCCAGCCAGCGCCAGCGCCAGCGCCAAATGTTGCTACATCATCAGGGACAGGGAGGCCTGCTCCAGGCTCAGAGAGATGAGCACTGTCTGTCTGTACCCTGCCCCACATTGCTCAGGCCACCTTTGTTGGGTCCCCAGGCCCAGGAGCTGTGCCCAGTGCCTGCTCCCTCTTGTCCTATCTCCTCTGGCACAAGGGAGGTCTGTGAGGACACTGATGGGAATGTAATCTACTCAGGGATGATTTGAACTCTGCCTTTACATTTTTGTCACCTCTAGGAATTAGGCCAGGGATGACCGAAGTCTGGGGTGAGGCTGAGCTAGGGGTCGGGGAACAGGGATCAGGGGTCTGGGAGTCAAGGGTTCAGGGGCCGTGGGAATCACATCTAGGGATCAGTGGCACTGGGGAGTCCCTTCTAGGGAGTAAGGGATTAGGGGCCCTTGGGGTCACCTCTGTGGGTTGGGCTCGTTATGCTTGTCCCGGTCGTGCTTGATCATGCGGTAGCGGCCTATGCGGATGTCTGGGCGCGAGATCTTCATCCCAGTCAGGGAGATCCTGGGGGTGGGGACAGACGGGCTGGAGCAGGCACCAGGAAGGGCAAGGAGCCTCGCCCGGTCTGCACTGCACCTACTGCACCCAGTCTACTCCCTGCCCTGGCCCTACTCACCGGTTGAAGATGTCGTCATCCTCGCCACCCCAGCCCCAGTACTCGTTGGGGAAGCCGTTGATTCTCAGAAACTGGGCTTTACTCAGGCCTGACACGCCTCCAAAGTAGCCAGCATAGGGCAGCCTGTGGCACGGAAAGGCAGGTGTCAGCTGAGGGGCCTGAGGGGATTCTGGAGGGAAGGCCAGAGATGGGTGAGGGGCCAGGAGCAAGGGGGCGCTGGGTGCTATGCGGACCGTTGGGCCGGGGAGTCTGGGTCCAGCTGAGAAGGGAGCCCTCACCGGAAACCGAACTTGTCCATGGCGATGGCAAAGTGGCGAGGCTGGTCACCACAGCGGTACAGGTTGCGGTCATCCATGGGGACCAGGTCCACGTCACTGAAAATGAAGCAGTCGTACGTGGCGTCCTCCTTCAGTGCCTCTAGGAAGCCTACGTTGAGCAGCTTGGCCCGGTTGAAGGTGTCCTCGCCGTGCTGGGGGTGGAGCAGGGGACAGGTGAGCTCTGGGCCTGTGACTGGCAGGCACCTGCCACTTTGCCACTGTCCAGAGCGCTCCCCAAGGGGCTCCTACTTCCCTGCCTGCCCCCACCCCACTCTGAGTGGCTCCCCTCGGTCCTGCCTTCCAAGGCTTTCCAGGACTTGGCTTCAGGCTCCTCTCCCACTGTTTCCCTCAGACCCCAAGACCCAGCTGCACTACGTTCCTCAGCAGCCCCGGAACATGTCAGACTCTTTACTGCCTCAAGGCCTTGCTGTCAGCTCTGGAATGCTCTCCTCTGACGGTCAAGCTTGTGCGTGGACAGGCATCCATGCTCACACCTCCCTGCCTCCGCGTAATCATTCATTCTGTCCTGTGGGCTTCACTTAGTGTCCCGTTACACTGTGACTTAAGAGCACTCGTTTCACTCATTCTTTCACCCCTCACTCCAGCAGGCCCTATAGTCCTGTCCTGGGCGTCAGGCATCTTCTCTGTGCCAGTGGGAGCCTTAGAGAAGAGCAGCCCTGAGCCCACTGCATCCCTGCTGAGCACACTCACAACATGAGATGAACAGTGAATGCCCCAAATAACCAGTGTCGAAGACAAAGAAACCATGGGTACTGAGCCACTAAGCCTCAGTCACCTGTCCCTTCTGGCTCATCTGGATCCACATCCAGCTTCCTGTGCAGCCTCTGAGACCGGGACAGGACCTGGCTAGATTCATTTGTCTCCCCAACAAAATGCCAAGCACAGGGTGTACAGGCAGTCATGGCCCAGTGAGCCGGGGGTCCCCTGAGAATTGGGGCTGTAGGGCCAGGCCTCCTGGAGGCTGGGTTCCTGGCCACGCGTGCCCATGCTCCAAATTCTAGCCAGAGCAAGGAGGATCCCATGGAAGGAGCTGGCTGCTGAGCTCTCTGTCCCAACCCACCATCCCTAGGGTGGAGCCAGACCAGCCCCTGGAGAGGGGTCTCTAGGCGGGCCCCTCCAGAGGGAGAGGAGGAATCATGGCCCCTCCTTCCCACCAGTCAGCCTGGGCCCGATAGGGTGGGAGCGGCTCACCCTGCTTGCTCTCTTTCCTTGCCCTGCACCTTCCCTCCCACCAGCCCTTGCAGCAATTGTGCATTTTCTCCTGGCTCATCGGTTCTCCTTTCTGACCTTTCTCACCAGCCAGGAGCCCTGAGTTTCTCCCACACAGCTCATAAACATGTCCAATTTTACCCCATCTGAAAAAGAAACCTCTCTAGCCACCGCCCTACCTTTGCCTCCCCTTCCCGGCAGAGTGGTGTTTTTTTTTTTTTTTTTTTTTAAGAGTTGCCTCCAATTGGCTATTTCCATTTTGTCAAATCTGATTCCTTCTTCAACCCACTGCAATCTGCTTCCGCCCCCACCATGCCCCTGAAATGGTTCTCGCTGGGCCCACCTTGTTGCTAAATCCACTGGACGCTTCTTAGTCCATATCTTTCCTCCCCCGGCAGTGCTCACGTAGCTGCCATGCTTCCTTCTGGACACTTATTCCTGGGCTTCGGGGACACCACACTTTCCTGGGACTCCCCGAACCTTTCTGGCCAACCTTCCCAGTCTGTGGTGCTGTCCCTTCCCCCACCCATCCCTTACATGCTGGCTTTCCCCTCTCAGGCCCTGTGCTCCCTGGGCAGGCTGGGCGTTGTTGGCATGCTGGTGGCTCCCAGATCCCTCTCTGCACCTTAGACCTCGCTGCATGGGTCCAACTGCCAGCTGAACATTCCTCTCATACCTCACCTGGACACTCAAACTCATCCCATGCAAAAAAGAATTCAGAGTCAAGCTCTCCCCCAGACCTGGCCCAGCCCCTGTCTTCTCACTCACAGGCGCAGCCAACCACAGAGCAAATGGCCAAGAAGAACCCTCGAGGTGTCTGGCGTCTCCCTTTCCTTACTCTCTACCGTGTCACATCTCTCCCACTGTAGCCGACCCACACACAGGTTCACTGTCTCTTTCCTGAACATCGTAGCCTCTTCGCAACTGGTCACCCTGCCTCCAGTCTCCCCACCTCCAACCCATTCTCCACATGCAACCAGAGCCATCTTCTTGATAAACAAGCATACATGCTACTCCTCACTTAAAATTTTCAGGGGTGCCCCCGCCACCTTCAGGCTGGAGTGCAACTGCTTCGCATGCCTCCGGAGACCCTTCTGGATTTGGCCTCTGCCAGCAACTCTAGGCTCATCTTTGCTGCCCACCCTACATGCTGGACCCCACACCTTGGCCAACGGTTCCCCAACACACAAGACCTGTTCTCTGCATGGGGTCTGGAGCCTCCAGTCCGTCTGCCAGCTGATGTCTGTTCATCCCTCAAGACCCATCTCAATTTGCCACTTCTCCACCCCCGGGTTGGACAAGGCCCTTCTGTGCCCCCACAGCCCCCTGCTCCAACTCATCCCACACCATCGTCCTGGAGTCTACAGGGATCCAAGTCCAAGTGTGGGAGTCCTAAGTACGAGAAGGAGGACCTGCATCAGATCCTCCCAGGGTTCCAGCAACCAGGCCCTTCCAGGCCCAGGGCAGGGCTGAGACACTGGGCTGAGTTCCCAGGTCTCTGCTGTGGCCGTGGCCCTCACACAGACTTCATCCCTCTCTCAGGCTCTAACTCCCCCTCTCCAAGGGCTTCTCCACAGCTCCTCACAGCCAGCAGACCCTATGTCTCCACCTCCATGGGGCGGGGCCCGTCAAAGGTGGACCAGGGGGCCCATCCCCGCGGGGGCTGCGCACACACCCGTCAGCGTGCGCGCTCCCCTTCCCGCACCCGCAGACCCTCCCGTGGGAGCAGGGACATACACGCAGCCGCGCACGTACAGTCACTCATCCGCACCACCACAGGCGGACACGAAGCCACGAAGGCTCCCAACCCCACTCATGCCCCGGGAGGCCCGGGGCGCTCCGGGGCCCCCTGGTGGCTAGCGCCCAGCCTGGGCCGCGGGTAGCACACCTGGTTGATGACGTAGACGCCGTAGCGCAGCCGCTGTCGCCTCAGGATGGGGTGCAGGTAGTGGAGCCAGTAGCGTAGGTGATGCTCCCGGTGTCGAAAAGGGATGATGACCGCCACCGTCTGGGCAGGCGTGCAGTCGGGCGGCGCATAGCGGCCGCCCAGGAGCACGCCCGGGTTCTCCCTCTGCACCCGCTCCAGTGGCATGGGGGAGGTGAACTCAATCAGCAGCCGGCCCACTGCAGGCAGGACGGTAGCAGGAATCAGGCTGCCATCAGAACCCAGGGACGCCAGCCCTCTCCCTCAGCCCCGGGGTAGGCCAGGGAAGCCCAGCAACAGCCCTCTCCCAACAGACCCGGAGCCCCTGCACCCCCGTGGCTCATTCCCCAAGTCAAAACGGCCAGGTCTGCCCACCCCTCGAGGCAGGCCCCACCCTGCAGGCTCACCAAGACCAGGCGGCGAGTCAGGACAGGGAGGCAGGGCGGGAGCCGTGGGGCCGGGCCGGGCACTGGGAGCCTCAGGGAGCCCCGAGCTGGGGGCGGTGGTGTTGGGCCGAGAGCAGTTGGTGCTGCTGCTGGCAGCTGGGTGGAGGGCACGGGCAGGGCCGCGGGCACTGAAGCGGCTGAAGAAGGCCAGATGCTGGGCGTAGACGTCGAAGTAGAGGATGACGGCCACGAGAAAGTGCAGCAGGCAGAGAAGGAGCACAGCCTTGCACACGCGCTCCAGCGTGCCCCCCAGCAGTCTGCTCATCCCGCAGGCGGCCGCCGGCCGGCCCGATGGGCCCGGGCATCCGGCTGCCGGCCTGAGCAGGGGGAAGGGAGAAACAGACCCAGCAGGTCAGGGCCCGATGGGCAATGCTACGCCCCCCACCCCCATCTGCCTGGTGCTCACCCTCACAGACCTGCATCCTCACACTTATTACCTGCTCACACCCTGTGACACTCACGGACTCCCATTCTACCTGCAAAGAGACACACGGACAGTCCCCAGCAACTCACTACTCACACGTCGTCACACACCTGAGTACTAACCCACATATGCATACGGTCCTCATTATTGCTGACACACATGCACACAAGCACAACCTCATGCACCCTCACACTCAAGGTGCACGCCCTTATCGTGTGACTCAACACACACCTCTGTGTGTTCTCAGAAACATGAACACATGGCCTCTGATCACGGTGGTTCATACCTCCAAATGGAAACACATTTACCTGCAGACTCACATGTGTACCTCTGCCCTAGAGAACAGACACCCCACAGGGCACCATCCTCAACCCAGGACTCTTGGTCTGGGGAGGGGTGACCATTTACCGAGTATCTACCATGCAGGAGCGCTTGGTACTCATGACTTCAGTTAGTCCTCCCAGGAGCCTGGTGGGCAGTGGTTTAGTTGGACAGGTAGCAGTGACAAGTAGGCCAGGCCAACTAGGCCCAGGCAGGGAAGTGGCCCTCAGCACCCAGGAGAGACCCAAATATGAACAAGATGTTTATGGGATTCTTTCCCTCTGAAGCGGGAGGTCAAAATACAGGGTGGGGCATAAGACACCCTTCCTCCAAGACCTCAAGGATTGGGATGAACTTTCTGGAGTCTGCCCAGCACTGCTGGCTCTGATTTTGGGAAGAGGGACCATCTGGGCCCTGGAGACGGGTCCAGCACCAGCATGGCAGGGAAGGGCCTGGCCTGGGCCACGGCTCCAGCTGCGGTTCCAACAGAACAGCACTTCTGGCAATGCTTCAGGGGGCGGGCTGGGTCTCAGAGATACACAGCACCACACAACCCCAGCCACCATGGGTCCCAGCTAAAGTCACCTGCACTCAGACACACTGAGAACTACAGAGAGTCAAAGACACACCCCAGTGACAGTAACAGTAACGCAGAGTCACACACTCACAAACAAAGCCGCTGCTCCTCGACGCACACAGCCATGCATGCAGGCTCCGAGACGGCCCGGACGTCCGGGCCCCACGTGCAAACATTCCCACCCCTCCCTCCCGGCCGGGGGTTCTGGGTCAGGCTGGCGGCCAGGCTGCGAGGTGCGTTAGGGCGGGGCTGAAAGGCAGAACGGCCTGCACACGTGGTTCCCCGGCACGGGGGAGGTAGCAAAGACCGGGTGGGTGTGGAGCCTGGGCGGGGGGGGGG